TCAGAATTGTTACGACTCTTGAGTGCCTACCCCTATTCTGATGTCACTCAACATTTAGCAGAATAGAAAAAGTCACAATTAAGAAATTGACTATTTCTCCAAAACTAGCCATTTGATATGTCCCCCTTGAATGAATTCGATGTTTTCTTGAGGTAGTATGTAACAAATTCTTCTACCATGCTGTCTTCAAGAATTTGTTGCCAAACTTCAAGAAGTATCTGTAACAGTAGCAGCTGGTATCACAGCTGGGAGACAGTGGAAGGTGCCAATGTGGTGACATAAAAAGCCTACTGACTATTGAACAAAAATCGTATAGAAGTCGAATGAGGATTAGCTTATCAATAAATATGCATACAGGGATTCTGGATTTGTGGAGTGTCAGGAAAATTAAAAGTCCAGCTCAGTTGAGAGAGGAGAGAGAGAAGTTGAGAAAAATAAAATGGCTTGTGAATATGTTCAGAATAAAAGAAAGGGAAAAGAAGCAGAAGGGGAACTGAATAACAAACAACAAAACATGTTAACATAAGATTGAAACTTCAGTCTTGAATTCTTCAATATTTCTATTATTGGTTTGGATAAAATATGAAAAAATTGGGATGAAATAAAATTGTAAGAGAAGTAAAGGTGCAGCTAGCTCATTTATAAGTGGTGACAGACAGTGGCGGATTAAGGCTCACTGGTGCCCTAAGCACTGACAAATCTTGGTGCCCCCTCCTTAGTACATACTGTACAAACAAAGCCATATTCTCAACTTTGTGGTGCCCCCTGTGGGCCTGGTTCCCTAAGCAGGTGCTTAGTCTGCTTAATGGTTAATGCACCACCAAAGGTTTTTTTCAGAAAGATAAAAGCTTTTTGCAGTTACAAAATCACCATTGCCAAACCCACCCACCCCCCAAAAAACCCACACTGTACAAATGCAATGATCGTAGTACCTAGTAGTAATAGTCTCTGGGAATCCTAATAGGAAGAAGGTAGGTTGGACATGTTCGTGCCTTGAGCTATGTGTAAAAGTAACAAAGATGGGATACAATAAATTAATTACTGCTCAAAAAAATAAAGGGAACACTTAAACAACACAATGTAACCCCAAGTCAATCACACTTCTGTGAAATCAAACTGTCCACTTGGGTAGCAACACTGATTGACAATCAATTTTGCATGCTGTTGTGCAAATGGAATAGACAACAGGTGGAAAGCATAGGTAGTTAGGAAGACATCCCCAATAAAGGAGTGGTTCTGCAGGTCGTGACCACAGACCACTTCTCAGTTCCTATGCTTTCTGGCTCATGGTTTAGTCACTTTTGAATGCTGGTGGTGCTTTCACTCTAGTGGTAGCATGAGACGGAGTCTACAACCTACACAAGTGGCTCAGGTAGTGCAGCTCATCCAGGATGGCACATCAATGTGAGCTGTGGCAAGAAGGTTTGCTGTGTCTGTCAGTGTAGTGTCCAGAGCATGTAGGTGCTACCAGGAGACAGGCCAGTCCATCAGGAGACATGGAGGAGACCGTAGGAGGGCAACAACCCAGCATCAGGACCGCTACCTCCGCCTTTGTGCAAGGAGGGACAGGAGAAGCACTGCCAGAGCCCTGCAAAATGACCTCCAGCAGGCCACAAATGTACATGTGGCTGCTCAAATGGTCAGAAACAGACTCCATGAGGGTGGTATGAGGGCCCGACGTCCACAGGTGGGGGTTGTGCTTACAGCCCAATACCGTGCAGGACATTTGGCATTTGCCAGAGAACACCAAGATTGGTAAATTCGCCACTGTCTCCCTGTGCTCTTCACAGATGAAAGCAGGTTCACACTGAGCACATGTGACAGACGTGACAGGGTCTGGAGATGCCGTGGAGAACATTCTGCTGCCTGCAACATCCTCCAGCATGACCGGTTTGGCAGTGGGTCAGTAATGGTGTGGGGTGGCATTTCTTTAGGGGGCCACACAGCCCTCCATGTGCTCGCCAGAGGTAGCCTGACTGCCATTAGGTACCGAGAGGAGATCCTCAGACCCCTTGTGAGACCATATGCTGGTGCGGTTGGCCCTGGGTTCCTCCTAATGCAAGACAATGCTAGATCTCATCTGGCTGGAGTGTGTCAGCAGTTCCTGCAAGACGAAGGCATTGATGCTATGGACTGGCCCGCCTGTTCCCCAGACCTGAATCCAATTGAGCACATCTGGGACATCATGTCTCGCTCCATCCACCAACGCCACATTGCACCACAGACTGTCTAGGAGTTGGGGGATGCTTTAGTCCAGGTGTGGGAGGAGATCCCTCAGGAGACCATCCGCCACCTCATCAGGTGCATGCCCAGGCGTTGTAGGGAGGTCGTACAAGCATGTGGAGGCCACACACACTACTGAGCCTCATTTTGACTTGTTTTAAGGACATTACATCAAAGTTGGATGAGCCTGTAGTGTTTTTTTCCACTTTAGTTTTGAGTGTAACTCCAAATCCAGACCTCCATGGGTTGCTAAATTTGATTTCCATTGATAATTTTTGTGTGATTTTGTTGTCAGCACATTCAACTATGCAATGAACAAAGTATTTAATAAGAATATTTCATTCATTCAGATCTAGGATGTCTTATTTTTGTGTTCCCTTTATTTTTTTGAGCAGTGTATTTATTTTGTGCTTAAGCTGATTTAGAAACTTTCCTTAGAAAAACATGAATATTAACAATACATACAAAAAGTGGGAGCTCTACATTCAACCTGTCATATTTTTCTTAGCCACAGTATGGAAGTGGTATGCCATTGCCACCTTCTAGGATGTTTTTCCACTGTATCAATCTATTTTGCAAGTGTGATATTTCCCACAGTCTCCCATCCCAGTACTAACCAGGCTTAATCTTGGTTAACTTTTAGGCCCAGGCAAGATTTTCAAATTGCTGCCACCTTCTGGTAGACATTAACAAGATATATTTTTACTGTATGCACATTTAATTGATTTTCGAAGTTACTATTTTTCATTAACCAGAAGGAATTCAATACTACATTTTCTAAGTAACAAATTTTACTAAAAAGCATAAGCTTTTATGCTACAGTTCATAAGCTAGAGATACTAACTTTTTTCCTAGAAAAAGTATAGGCAACAAACTGGAAAAAAATGGATGCTTGTTGAAGCCTGCTGAAAAATTTAGCGAAATCAAAAATATGTAAAACTCATCAGGATTTATTCCGACATTTATTCTAATTAGCATTCTGGGGAGATAATGGAGTTCAATATGTGTAAATAGAATGTGGCTCTTTCATTATCTTATTAAAGTTAAGATATATAAAAAGCTGTCATTGATAAACAGACAAAATTAGTAGGCTTACTTCTAAAAACTTCTTATTGAGAAACATGAACAAAGCCTGCAGCAAATACGCCCTTCAAACTTCAACTAATGTATTAATTAAACTTGTATATTACTTCTTGTTTGGAATTAGGATATAGAGGTGCCTCACTCTAGTGTTTAAGCAGTTCTAGTTATCACCTCCATTGGTGAAATTTGAGTGGGTAGAATCTAATTGGTTTAGCGGTGACCTGCTAGATTTACAAGTCTTTTAAAATGGTGTAATGCAGCAATACTCTTTTAAAATAGTCTCTTTCCTGAGTAATTTAGACATTCTCCTAAACCTCGCTGCAGTGTCTAAAGCAGGGGTCCCCAAACTTGGCAATTTTAAGACTTGTGGACTTCAACTCCCAGAATTCTCCAGCCAGCATGGTCTGGTCTAAAGACTTACTTGGGAAATTACATTTAATAACTGAACACTGATTGTAATGGAGAAAAAAATCTGAGAATACAACCACATCTGATTTATACAACAGTTTCTGAATTGACTTGTAAAATAATAAAAGTAGTTGGTCTGGAAGAAATTATTTTATTTATTTGTTCTTTGTTCTGTGATCCAGTAGAATGAATTTTAGTGTGACATTGAGTGTAAGTTGTAGGAATATGACAGTTCCTCAGTATTCAATTCCATCCAAAGTATTGATTGGTATTTGACAATTTCCTTGTTACCTGCACATTGTACTAGATTATATTGAAGAACTACATGCCACTTGTGGCTCAGGTTGTATGCGAATTATCTACTTCATAGCAGAAATCATAGGACACTTACTTGGAGGAATTATCATTAGACAGATTTACTTCAGAGTGAACGTGGTTGAAATCTAGGGTGTCTTCAAGAATTTGAATTATAGCTTATTATTTAAGTTGACCAGAGAAAAATGTGTCAAATATTTAAAGAAAATGTTTCTGTGATGTAACACATTTCAGGTTTCATATATTGAAAACTTCAAAAATCCAAGATAGTGAAATATAAAAATATAAAATAATGTTTCATAATTTATCATATTAATTCTAAAGACATAGTTCAGTCTTCATCTTAGGCTATGATGGGGTTACGTATCATTTTTGTCTGTAGAATGATGCATTGTATTTCTGATTTCTGTATGGCAACCATTCTGTAATTTCCACCACCACCTGATTGCTCAGATGCATATATGTCAAAAAACTCTAAATTATAGCCATTTTTCGTGGGTAAAATGCTTTTGGATGGGATGAACAGTTAACTTGTTAATTTATTTTGTTTGCTTTTTGAATTACTACTATTGCTTCCTATTCTTTTTCTCCTCCTCATACAACGCTATTGACCCAAAAACAAATTACTTGTTTGGTTTTGTACCTTATCTAAATTGCTGCTGGAATGGACTGTAATGTGGCAATATTTGGATTATAATACTGATAGGACAGCATCTTATATACAATTTGTCATCTTATAACTGGCTAACGAGAAATTATCACCACCAGACATTATCATCATAATGTTTAATAAATTATTAATAAAAAATAGCCATAAATGTTGGGCCCAAAATTAACAATTTTAAAGAGGGAGAACCTGTAGCTAATAAGCAGTGGGAACTGAACTAATTGTGTACTGTAGATAAGAAACATATGTTTCCATAAAATGATTGATGCATAACAATAATTTTCTTCTATGTTTCATTATCCAGGGAGGCCTCTCAAGATTTGTTGATGGATTTCATATGGAATATCATTTAATGTGCTGAGATAAATAGAAGAACAAGCCACGCACCTTTCCGCTGCTGTTTAAATTTCAGGTTCAAGTACTAAGGTAGATCATTGCTCCAATTAGTTACACAATTAAATCACTTTAAAATAAATCAGAGAACTGATGTTGTGTTTGGTTGCCTCTTCTGAACTAATTACAATGTTTTTACAGCTGGTAAAATACAAATATTTGATTTAGATGTATTTGGTACATCTAGGAGAAGAGTTGGAGGTTGAAAAATACTGAAACCATCAACAACCTAAAAATACCATTTCCTTACTTCATCTTGTGGGAAACCAACGACATATTGTATAAGTAGCAGAAAAAAATATGGTCCCCTGGTATATGATAACCGTTATACTGCTGAGCCCCAAAGGATAGAAACTTACCTGTGATTGTGTAAGGCAATTATCTGAGAGGTGTGGTTGCAGTATTCTGGAAGTTTTCAAGTTTTTTAGTCCTAAATTTTGTTTTTTCCTAAGGATTTTAGTATTTAATTTCTGTCCTCAGAAAAAGTATGATGATTGTTACTAAATTGATCATAAAGAAGAAATCTGGAAATATTTCTAGCTTCATAATTCTGAGCATCTCATTGTTCAGTAGCAGTCATGAAAGAGCAGTAAAATACATAGCACAGAATTGATGAGTAGCTGAAAAATATACAGACCTTATTCTACTTAGGAATGAATTATGTTCTTGGGGCTGTTCATAAGTTCATTCCGATTGCAAGTTGAACTAGCAATAAAAATCATGTGCAGTACAGTTGTTACCTTACAGTACGTAATGGATCTGTTAATACAGTGGTTCCCAAACTTTTTCAGTCCACCTCCCCCTTGGTGCTACAAACTCATCCTCAGTGCCCCCCACCCAAGGGTGGGATTCAAATTTCTTAACAACCGATTCTGTGGGCGTGGCTTGATGGTCATATGACTGGAACTTCAAGCGAGGCTGCAGCCTCACCCACCGCAGGAGCTGTGGGAAAAATGAGCTGCAGGAAAGGTGAACCAGCCCACCCTGACTGGCTCACCTTTCCCTCTGCCACCAGCCGCAGGAGGAAGGTAAGTTTGTAGGCAGTCAGGAAAGCCCAAACTGCAGCAGTTTGGGCTTTCCCGACTGCCTACAAACTTACCTTCCTCCTGTGGTTGGTGGCAGTGGGAAAGGTGAGCCTGTCAGGGCGGACCTGTTGCTATTCGGCTCCCCGCCAGCCCGCATGTCACCAGCTGCTGGGGCTCGCAGGTCACCGCTGCTGAGGGGGGCAACCAGGAAGCACTCTGAACCACCCCTCCAAGCATTTTAGCCGAGTATGGGCCGCTGCTATGCAAGCTCCATGGGCTGGAAGATCTACTCTCACGAGGCTTGACTCGCATCATTCTCACAGCGGTGGCCCGCATTCAGCCAAATCGCGCAGACTGGCGGGCGGCAGAGGGAAGGTGCGGCAGGTAAGGGGCGATGCAGGAGGCATAGCATCATGCTCCCTGGTCGCCCCACTCCCATCCCCATCCCTCGCAGGCAAGGCCCAGCAGCTGTGGAGAATCCAAGCGGCAATAGGTCAGCCTTGGCTCGCCTTCCTCTTGGCCACCAGCAAGCCAGGCAAGTGGGGGGGGGGAGCTGAATTGCATCCTGCGAGGGGCCCACTTGCAGCACTTTTCTGCTACCCCCTTGCCTCTTAGCGCTCCCCCCTGCTGTCCCCCTTGCCTCTTAACGCTCCCCTAAGTCATCCCAGGGGGCGGTACTGTCCACTTTGGGAACCACTGTATTAATACTATACTGATGGAAGTTGGGAGAAGGTAGGAAAGAAAGTTGGGAGAAGGCAGGAAGGCTTTGTTTCTTGCATGACACTTTCATAAACACTATGCTACAAACCTTTTCCTGCCTTCTTCTCAATTCCACGACTGTCTAGTTTTGGTTACAGATTGGTTTGTTCATATTAGCAAAAGCTTGCAACGTGAAAGTTCATTAGTAAGTACACTGCTCCCTCCCCCCAGATTTTTTTTTTATATCTTCATTGGAGTTGGCCAAGGTGAATGCAGGCATGTGGGTTTAAAAAAGAAGTGTTTCTTGTAGCTTTCCAGATGTACATTCTGAAGATTACTTTATGTTCATGAATTATGCATGAGCTTCCTTTAATCATCTTACCGTAGTGAGAGGATACTAGGCAAATGGGACGGGGGGCTAACAAAGATGGGATCTTATGGCTGGACCAAACTCACTGACTATGATGGGCCTTATTTTTCAATTGCAAATTCTAGGCTAGATGTTAGATTGGGTCTATCTAATGTGTGTCAGCTTTGTGACTCAATTCTGTTGAATTGAAGTCCTTTATTTGGTGGCAGCACCTATCAATATCAATAGCACTTAGACTTATGTACCACTTCATAGTGCTTTATAATGCACTCTTAAGTGATTTACAGAATTAGCCTATTGCCCCCAACAATCTTGAATCTTTATTTTACCAACTAGGAAGGATGGAAGGCCGACTCAACCTTTGAGCTGTTCAGGATCGAAATGCTGGCAGTGGGTAGAGTCAGCCTGCAATACTGCATTCTAACCATTGTGCCACTGTAGCTCAAATCTTGATTTATTTCAGGACCTAAATAGTAAAGACCCTTAGATGACAGTTTGTTGAAGGAATTCCAGGGCTGCTGGCTAGACTGAGAAGTTGGAAATCTTCTAGAAGAAAATAATAACAAAAAATGATATTTCCTTTAAGAAAGCTACATGAATGGAGTCACCAAGAATCAAGGCCACCTTTATTTTTTTCTTACTGAATTCATCAGGAATTATTCTTGGAGTCAGAATTACCGAGGCTGTTTAAGGCTGTGGTGCCGAACCTATGCCACGCATGCTCCCGGAAATGGCACACAGCTCCATCTTTCCAGGCACGCCAGCTGTTGTCCGTTGCTCTTCCAGGTTGCGGCATGCACATGCATGCAGGCCAACTGCTCTTCGTGTGCACGGGAGCGCCGGAAACCAGAAGAGCAGCTTCCTGGAATGCATGTGCCAACTGGGCTTCACATGTGCATGTGTGTTAGAAACCGGAAGATCAGGTGGCTGGTGAGCATGTGTGCGCTGGGAAGCTAAGCTTCCAGTTTCCGGTGCTCCTGCATGCATGCGTCAGGGAGCTGCTGTTCTGGTTAGTTAGACTCACATCTCCGTGTTTCACTTTTTCACTTTTGGATTTACAATGTGACAGTGACAGTGTCACAGTTAAAGAAAGTGAAAAGTTCTCTGTGTTACTGTGGTGGACAGTGAGAATCTGACATTGTGCCTTGGCTATACGATCTCCTGTTACAGAGCACTTATGCTTTTCTTTCAATCCCATTCAGCAAATCTTTTATTGCTTACAAATGCTTTAGAGCCCTCTGAGGAGAAATTAAAGAAAACAGGCCTTATCAATGAGTCATATGATTGAATTTTACCTTTGAAATTGCCTTATCTCAGTTACCTCTTCAGTCTGGAATACTAATTTGTCAAGTAGCTAGAAAGATAAGTTTCAAGAGACTTTTTGCATAGCTTCTGTTTGTGACTTCATAGTATGGATTATCTGCGTATAATAGAAAAATAAAGCTGGACTGTATCAGAAAATATCTCTGGTCTTGCATCCCCCTTGCAAACTTATTGCTGCCTTTCATGTGAATAAATGTCTTAACTGCAAGTCTGATTTCCTATTCAAAGACATAAAACTGGACATTATGAGAATCTGAAACATTGCTGCATATTTTCTCCATAGATTCAATGCTGCAGCCTGAAAACCTGCTACCTATTTGGGGTTTCACAGTACATTGCTTTTGTTTGAGAGTGAAAACTCAAGCTTTTTGTGACATTTATATTTAGAAGTAGAGAATACCTATGCTATTAGGAACTTTTGCATACATTGAGTTCATTCATGCTGGCATATTCCTTCAGTACCTTAAGATTACATTCTTGCCAACTGTACATTTTCATTTCAGCATTGTTTTTCTTGAATAAATAAGATGCCTCTCTTACCATAGAACAATATGTCTAATGCAGTAAAGAGTACTTGTTCAACTAATTCAGTCTTGTCTACCCGTAGCAACTCTCAGGCAGGAGTTTTCCCCAGACCTATGTAGAAATGCTGGAATTGGACTTGCACACAGATTCTTTTCTTCTCAGGTATAAAAATTATTTGTCATTTAAAAAACAAATGGGCAATAATAAATAGCAAATTAACAATTGCAGTTTAATTCAGCACTTGTTTCCCAATGTAGAATTTATGTTTTTAAACATAGAAGCTGGCTTCTTCCTAAATTAATACAAAATTGCTGATTCATAACTATCCTCCTCGGTCACATCAAGGACAATCCCTGTAGGAGAAATTATCTTCTGAGTCCCCTTAAAGGAAGGAAAGATATAGAGCCAAGATGTTTGCAAATAAAGAATTGAATTAGCTTCTTGTTTCTTGTGTATTGTACTGTTGCAGTCTGCGACCTATATTTACAAGCAGTGTCAGATCACAGGGTAAGCCATCCAACGAAAGTCTGTAAGATCTAGATTAATGATACAAATCACATGGAAATATCTGTTCTGACTCTGGTGCGTCCTGACTTTATTACAAGAGAAATTTAAAGTGAACACTAATACAGAAGCTATTTGTTTTAGCAGTTACTAACTTTTAGCGGTTTGCTAACGTCTCTCCTCTCTGTTCCCTGTTTTTTTCTTCTTCTTTACTTTCAGAGCTACGTGTGATATATGAAACCTGCAGGAGATGTTGTAATGACTGTGAAATTACACTGAGGACAGATCTTGCTCCTTCCATTTTTTTGTGATTACTGCTCTTAGTATTGTGATTGATTATTTTCTACAGTAAGTGAGCTGGTTGCTTTGTCTGGTCCTTTTGTTTAAAAAAAGAGAAAGAAAGATGTCTGATCCTGATGTCCATCAAGATGCTGGCATCAAGCCAGGCTTGTTGGAAAAAAGCAACAATTCTGGTGATTCTCAGCCCTCAATCAATTTGGAAAGAAGGAACAAAAGTGGGATAATTAGTGAACCTTTGAACAAAAGTCTTAAGAAGTCTCGGCCACTGTCCCATTACTCTGCTTTTGGTAGCAGCAGCTCGTTAAGTGAACATTCAGAGAAATGTGTCCCTATGGCCAACAGCAGTGAGGCAATCATGGAAAAAAGCAATTCTACCTCAAAGCACAAAACCATCTCTGACATGTTGAGCAAATCAGATATTTCTTTGGAAGGACAGAACATCTTGCAACAGTTTGCTCAGTCCACAGAGTTGCTCAAAAGAGTAGTCCAGGAGCACATCCCCCTGCCTAATGACCACGGGACGGGCATCTCAGACATGGAAGCTGTCTCAACTGCTGAAACAATGAACAACCCGTCTGATTTTCCTTACCTGGGAGCTTTTCCTATCAACCCTGGCCTTTTCATTATGACCCCTGCTGGTGTATTTTTGGCAGAAAGTGCACTCCATATGGCTGGCTTAGCAGAGTACCCAATGCAGAATGAATTGGCATCTGCCATCAATTCAGGGAAAAAGAAACGAAAACGGTGCGGCATGTGTCCTCCTTGCAGAAGACGGATAAACTGTGAGCAGTGCAGCAGTTGTAGGAACCGTAAAACTGGACATCAGATTTGCAAATTCCGAAAATGTGAAGAACTTAAAAAGAAGCCTTCTGCTGCACTGGAGGTAATTGCTTTTGCTGACACAGCTTAATAATTCCCTCTCAACTGTCCTTTGTGGAATCAGATTATGAGGACTGGATGTGGAAATGTCAGAAGTTTGAATCCATTTATGGTTTATACCTTTATATTTTATATAGCCCAGTCTTTTCACAGATATAAATCCACACAGTTAATAATATTTAAAAGAGAGAGTATTAGTTTCCTTCATGAGATATAATGAGCTAGAACCTTATAGCAAGTTAAGCAGCTGATATGGCGGTCACGGACTCCTCCATCCCAGACTGCATGCATGGATTCAGATTGCTTAGTATTTTTCCAAGCAAAGATAATAAATGTAAGAATTTCCTGTACATTAAAGAAAGAGGCTCCATTCTGTCTTCCCAGGATACATTTCTTGTTTAATGCTATAGTGCTTTGAAGTGTTCACAATATTTTTATATGTGTTGCTTTGATTTAAATATTTCAGCAATGTAAGATAAGTAAGATAAACTTATATTAGAAGAAGGGCTAAGGGTAGAAGAAGGTATAGGTATAGCTTATTATTTTTACAGCTGGAGGGATACAGGTAGCCCTTGACTTATGACAACAATCGAGCCCAAAATTTATGTTGCTAAGCAAGACAGTTAAGTGAGTCTTGCTCACTTTACCTTTCTTGCCACAATTTGGCAAGAATTAAATGAACCATTACAGTTGCTAAGTTAACAACATGGTTAAGTGAATCTGGCTTCACCACTGATTTTGTTTGTCAGAAGGTCGCAAAATGTGACTACATGACACTGGGATACTTTCATAAATATGGGTCAGGTGCCAAGCATCCAAATTTTGGTCATGTTGTCATTGTGATGCTGTTAACGGTTGTGTGAAAAACACATAAGTCACTTCTTTCACTAAACAAATTGTTGTAAGTTGAAGACTATCTCTATTTGCATTTAAAGTTAGTAGCTTAGGTGGTGTAACTATGTATTCATGCTTCTTTGAGCTAGAAGTGAATATGTAAAGATGTGGGGGTTTTGCCCTTTTCACAGAAGTTATTAAGTGATGGAAAGATTTACCACCTTGTATTATTTATGAGGAAGTTGTTAATATGCATGTCTCTTCTCAAGATGTGATCATCCATTAATCCAGATTAGTTTCAAACAAATGAAAGTTGATGTAGCATAAGTTCTCAGAAGATTCCGATGTAGGCCAGAGTTCTCAGAAGATTTAGATGTAGGCCACTTAACAGCTTTCCTCCCTCCCTCATATTGTGGCACTCTTGACTTACCCCAGTACCTGCTTTTGGCTACATGTCTTCAAGGTCCCAAAGGTCTTGATTTACCCAGCTATACAAGATTCTTATAACTTGGAAACACAAGGAGCACAAGGACACATGTACACAAGGATTAGGACATGTCTATGTCTATATTCTAGAACACTCCATTATAGTTCTTAAGATTCAAGATACTTCCTAAACTCTTTAGGAAATATCCAGTTCCTAGGAAGTTAACTTGTTATAAAGATTACATTCATTCTTTCATTTTATTTCATCAAGCCCTTGGGATAGTATGAATTTTCTTGCAGATGTTTATCTGTCTGAACTTTGCTCAGTAGCTGACAATCTTGAAAGTCTGTGCCCAGAACCTTTATTAATTTTTTCTTGTTTATACAATTTGATTTAGTAAAGCTCATTGATGTTTGACTAAGCAAAGAGCTCCAAATCTTTGTAATTTGAAAGAATGGGTGCTTAAATGTGGTGAATGTGAACTTTCAAATGAATGAATAAAGATTAGGCAATAAGGATTAGGATTATAATTGAGATATAAGCACAGCAAAATAGAGACATAAATAATTCCAGCATGTGAACAAAAATCAGTAATTAGGTTTAACTTTTCTAATCTGCAAGCAAAGAAAAATGTGTATATAGCAGTTCATTTCACAAGTCGCATTAATGACTTAAAAGATAAATTTATTTGAATTTGGGGAGTGACCTTAATTAAACAATTTACTTCCATTTTACTTGGAAATGTACATAAATAAATTTTGATAGGCAATAACATTGGGGCTTCTTCTGCATAGTTGCAAAAAGGTAAGACAGTGGCAAATCACTTCCATGCTGTAATGAAGAAAATTGCATGGATATGATCAGCAATTCAGCAGGATTTGAACTTGATTCAAATTTCAAGAAAGCTAATTAGAATGTATGCACCAAAGCCATGATGGTGCACCTTCTGCAAGAAAAAAAATCCGATGTAGTTTGGAGCTTGGACAATGCCAGTTTTGAATAGAGAAGAGAAAGCAAAAGCAAAAGGTGATTATTTCTCTGAACTAAATTTCACCATTTTGAGGCTACTTTTTCATAATGGAAGTGAGCATCGGTATTCTCATGTGACATGCAGTTTTGTTAAATCTGTTGCATATAAATGATGCAGGTTTGATTTATTATTTGGGTACGTTGCTGATTCCTGAATTACAGGATTATCAGATTGCATCCAGAGCCTGAACATTATATTTGTGGAGAGGTGCCAAAATTTAAACCCTGATTTTATTTGACTGTACAGGATGGATATCAGTCTTCTGGAATTCTTTTGCTGTGGAGGTCATTAACTAATAATAAACCTACTTACTGGAATTTGATGTCCTTGGAAGTTTGGTCCTTCAGTTTTTTGCTTAGATGACTGGAAGCCATTTGATAGCCTGTATGTTAAAATGCACCCTAGATGAGATGGAGATGGGTTGTCAACCCAATTGCATGATACTCTGGGATACACTTTCTCTGAAATTTCAGTTATGCTGTTTGGGACTACTCTTGTCATAGGAGGTTGTCTCAGTGGTTAATTGGTGTGTTACCAACTAATAGTGCTAAATGTATAAATTCACTCAGATGATTCCTATTGTTCTAATTAGAGTTATTTTTGAAAGTAATCCAGAATTGTACTACTACTGTACTAATTAGGATAGGTCAACAGAATATTGAGGTATCAGCTATATTGGTTTCTAGGCCATTTCTAGACCAAACTCAGGATACTAATACTGTCCTTTTAAACCTTTAAACCTTTCTCCATCTGAAGTCAGCCATCTGTCTTCTATATAGGACAGCAAGGGACTGGTTCCATGGAGAGCGGTTTTTCCATGGACCAGTGGGCATATTTTTGCATACTGCCTGGATATTGCATGTGCACAGATGGGGCTTTGTTCACTTGTGCGGCACAAATCCTGGTGGGCCGTGGGCTGGTGACAGTCCGTGGCCTAAGGGTTGTGGACCCCTGATTTAGGAAAAATCGCAGTGCTCTCTTTGCACTCGGCTAAGATGTTTCTCTTCTAGGCATTTTAGAATTTGGTAAAATCCAGAATGCATGTGTCTTTATTCCATTAGCATTGTGACCTTTATTTACTATCCAAGCAATTTAGTTTTCCTATTTTATCATTTTCATTTCTTCAGGCAGTGTTAAAATTTATTAAGAGAAATATCATTATTGGTGGATTAAACATAATAGTGTTTGAAAGGCAGTCATGCAGACAAAGAATCAGAGTAGTTCTCTGGGTCCAGAAAGAAAAGGCTATATAATGAATGGATGGAATAGAAAAAAGCACCAAGAACCTTCCAACTGGTGAGGGCTGTTTTGTTTGGGAGATCCCAATTTTGTTGGAGATGCCTAAGCAAAGTCTGAGCAGCAATCTATTGTGTAATTTTATAGCAATGTGTTGCATTGCAGTTCCTGCTTTGGACAAAAAAAGGAACTTCTAACACAATTGCGTGTGTGAATAACAGTTGGATAAAAATGAAAGAGTCAGTAGAGGACAACCAGATACATATTTCTAGTGATCAAACCAGATAAAAGAGAGATTCATAACATAGTCTCTTAAGGACTTGGCCCACAATCTTACCTTTTGTCATGAAGATGAGTCTTCCTATGCAGTTATAACTCAGTAGAAAAATTGCCCACATAGCCTTGAGTTTGACTGTGGTCTCCTAGAGATAAAGATTGAAAAGAAGTACAGTATATTAAAATACCGTACAGTAGACAATGAAAATGGTATATGGATCAACAGTGTCAAGACAACCATCTTAGTTGGCACCAGAGGTGGTATTCAGCAGGTTCCGACCAGTTCTGGAGAACCGCTAGCGGAAATTTTGAGTAGTTTGGAGAACCGGCCAATACCACTTCAGACTGGAGATTTCACAGTATCCTTCCCTTGCCACGCCCACCAAGCCACGCCCACAGAACCAGTAGCAAAACAAAATTGAATCCCACCACTGGTTGGCACATTCTGAAAAAGGAATTCCTTGTCCAATTAGTTCAACAAGAGTGAAACTTTATTGAAAGTTCCATCTAGGTACAGCAGAAGCAAAGCCAGTTGTGAGGTTTTCCCGTGAGAAATCTGCATAGGTAAAACCAGTTGCACACAGTGTTTTTGTTTTGGAAAAACAGTCTGTGCCGCTTGAACAGACTGGAACCTGACCTTGATGGGTATCTCTTCTCAGGCAGCAGAAGGCTCTCATGCATTCCTCAGACCTCTCCCCCCTTGCTAGGAATTTACCAACCCCTTTCCCATTTCTGTTTGGCAAACTGTGAGCTGAAATCAGGGACAGGCAATGATAAAGCCAAGTCAGTTTTGACAGGCAGCTTCATTCAGTTGCCAGATTTGTGCATGTCTTACATGATCCTGTTTCTTTTTGTTATATTTCATGGTGCAGGTATGTATTCATACATAAAAACATACTTTATTCATTAAGGCAATGGTCAGTTTCTGTTAATTATTTTCCCAGTATGCCTTCGTATCCACCATACAGAGACAATTTTTTTTGTGAAATATTTAAATTGGATTTTTGTGGTGATTTAAATCACAAATTTAAAATTGCTATTTAAAAGCCTCCATCCTGAGTAGAAAATCCAATAGGTCCTTCCTCTGTCTAATTAATACAGGACACAGAGTCAGTGGATTGTGGTCACTGATTGTTCAGAGCCGCCTGTCTTCTGATTTGCAAGAGCTGTCATCATCTCACAGTAAGGATTTCTTCACTTC